ACTCAGAGCTGTGATCTCTCACTATTTTGCTACAAACATCCTGTGTAGCCTCAGTTGAGTTGCTTAGGGGTTTTTTGTGGCTTAATCCCCAATCTTTGAGACGACTATGACTTAGACTCCCTATCTCACAGGCACACAGTGAGGATAAATGCATTAAAGAAGAATTAATATATCACAATACAGTGATAGGAATTCAATACCCTGCATACGGAGTAATTTATCTTTTTGTCTCCTGGATCAAGTATAGTTTCTAGGTGTGTGCAACAGTAAAAGCCTAATCTATTAATATATACAGAAACCAAACAGTCTCCACTGCTACATTCCTGTATATGAAACCATGAACAGAAACATAAACCTGTAGGTGTAGAGTGGAGATGCTAGAGCACAAAAGAACAGAATTTTTTCCTTAATTACAATGGGCTTAAGACAAGGCTAGGAACCACAAGCTAGACATACATAAAGGAATCTGTTCATTTCAACAGAATAAACCAGAAAAAACACCAAAACCAAACAACTGCACAACAAATTCATATATAAACTAGATATACAAGTATTTAGACATGTTTTAAAAAAAGGATCTCCTTAATGTTATCTTGTGTAAGGAATACACTATAATTTACTAGCATGTGAATTATATACTGTTCCCAGGATGAAACCTCCATATTTCTTTCTCCAGTCTAGTCTCCCTATAAAATAGCTTTATTGGAGTTAGCAATGTTAGGAAAAATGAAGGTAATGTCTATAGTTCCCATTAAAAACCAAATCATACATTTTACAGTGATTGTAGAGAAGTATACTATAAAAAATGAGGTTTCACCAAATATTCAAAATTATGGATTTATTCAAACTCCCAGAGAAAAATCAAACTTGTAAATTGTGTAGATTATATATCCAATAAAATATTTATTGTTGCACAATGTATATTGTTAACTGTGTTGACTAGTTTTCACCAAGGTGCCAGAGAAATGAAAAATTAACCAGTGCAGAATATAAAACAGTTTTTTTCAAGTCCTAGAGTTAGTTCACGAGCATACAAAACAGATTGTATTCAGAGCTGTAATATAGAAATTCTTCAGTGAAGAAGACACTAGAGCTGAATACCTGACAGCAGAACAAAACAGAGAACAGCATTAAAGCCTTGTAGTTGAGGTGATGCATGCAAATGCAGGAAGATCTGAATTAGTAATATTGAAGGTCTAGCTAACGTAGACAGTGGCTGTGTCAATGAATGTTTTAATGACATCTTACTAGTTTAAGGACTATCAAGTGCATACATGCATCCTGATAGAATTCTGGAAGTTCAGTGACTATGTGATCTAAAATCCCTTTGGGTTTACAAAAAAAGTGAATATTTGAATATCCTTCTTCTCTGCAACTTCCTAAACTGACCTACGAAAATCACACGTGTGGTTTGAGGTGCATTTTCTTGTTTTCAGCACTAATCATCATCACTACCAACCAACCAACCCCCCATTGTCTACTATTTATTCTTTTTCAAAATTTACACAAATATTTATTTAAACTTCAGCTACAGGGCACCAAATGGTCATCATCCTATGAATGGAAAAATTTAATAAAAAGTAAAAATTTATAAAACCCTCTAGTTATTTTGCACCTTAATGTTGTGACTTCAAATGTACCTTTCTTGTCCTCTTCATTTTGCGATGACCTATAAAATTTCCTAATGAAGGACAAGGATAAGAGGTAGGCTGGCAACACCAGAGAGGGCTGGATCCAGACTGTTGCTCCAGCCATGCTGCACAGAAGGGCATTTCTGACCTGACCATTCACAAATTACAGTGGGTATAAAAATAAAATACATAAATAAAAATAAATAAAATAAAATAGAAGAAAATAAAAATAAATACACTAATACTCACAATGGCATTAAATGCAACATATTTGATAGTGAAAGTTTGCTGAATATTTTAGAATTAGCTGTCCTAAAGAAACTGGTCCTAGGTTACACTAGTTCATGTTAAAAGAAAAATTACTTCAGTAAGCCCTTGGAGACGTGTGCTTGGTTTTTTAACCCAGCTACACAGCAGCCCTGGGTCTCACTTTTTGAAGAGGAGTACAAAACAGGTGGAATTAACTGAAAAATTCAGGTTATATGTTCTCTTAGAATGTTAGAGTTCCTGTATTTTTAAATGCTTTTTCTGTCAGCACTTGACAGCTGCACATTTTCAAACTCTTTTTTGATTTACACTGAAGCAGCTGGATTATGCAATCAGACAGCATGAACTCAGTGCAAAACACTGCTATTGTCTGCTTGTTCCTGGTGTGCAAGGCAGGAGAGGGAAGCAGGCATATGCTTGGATGAGATGAACCCTATTGGAGCATCTTTCTGCTTAGAGAGACTACAGCTTGTAGTGCCACCAGGTACCAAAATCTGGATGTCTATAACTTCCTAAATCAATGCTTGAGATGCCCAAAAAACAACCTGTTGTGAAATTCAGACTGCGAGGAAGCTTTTTTGAGACCAGTCAAAGCTTCAGCACACTACGTAACTCCAGATTCCCATTTTAAGAAATCCTGAATTAGAACCAAACCCGCCTTGATATTTAAATGCACTACAGAGCAGAAAAAGTTGGACAGGTCTGGACAGCTGCACAAACGGGCAGGCAGCAGCTGGGCAGGAATAGCCATTCCACCCTAGTGACTTTCTGTTGAGTGAGGAACCTCACTGCTGAGGATAAAGATGGGCAAAGCACAGGAAAGTTGCAGCTTTTTATATACACAAAGCAAAAGGATTAAAAACACCATGTAGAACAAAGATTTACAATGGATCAGCCACACATCTCTGTAGAAGGAACAAAGGTTTTATAAAAGAATAAATGAAAAAAGTATATATTTCCTGAGACTATAGGCATCCCTAGAGACTTCTAAGTATTAGTCAGACCAAAGGCTGCCAGATGCTTTCAGGGCTTTGGCAGCTCGCTGGGGAGCTCAGGCCTTTCCAGTGGGGCCAGCTAGGTCAGCTGGAGACTAAAGGGTACAGAGCTCCCCAGAGAAAGACTCTTTTGTTTTCTTTGGTTTTAAATATTTTTTCTTCATAAGACATGGTCTGAGGTTCCATTATGTTTTCTACTTACAGATTTTATTACAGGGAAATTAGTGACATCTTTTCCTTCTTTTGACTATTTCCCTCACTTGAAGAGTTTTGCAAAACCCTAATGTCCAGTTAACTGTGGCTAGCCCATGTTAGCATACACACTCTGCAAGCTTTGTCTTTAACAAAATAACAAAAGAAGAGCTTTGATTCCCATCTTCCATAAATTCTTTTTTTTCCCCACTCATTTCCCAAAGTAAAGGAAACTAGCAGATGAATTATTTTTTTTTACCTTTCCTCAAAATTCTTCATAGCTTAGATAAATCTGAAGATCAAAGTTTACTTCCCATTTCCATACAAAACTACAGTGAGGTGGAGCTTTTAGATAACTATTGACAAGAAAGAATTTACCATCAATAAATGCCTTTATCATGCCTTTTTTAACTCCAGCAGAATCCTTTCCCAGTCCCAAGAAGTTCTAAGCATGTGTTACCTGCTCATGGCCATGACACTACTGCAGCCATGTGGGCTGAACTGGTCTTAGTAAAAAGTGCTTTAGACACATTATATGATTTTACTTCTCTGTATTTTTTGGTCTCTAATTAAGTGATGCCAGACAAAAGCTGCCTAGATGAAAAATATCCAAAACAACATTTAAGTCAAATTCTCATACTTACTTTGGGCTACTTGTTTGAAGCAACAGGAATGGCTGCATGGGGGCAGTGCATGGACTGAAGATGTTGTATGCAATCAGAAACACAGTTCACTTTTGTGGCTGTCTATTCTCCAGGAAGCACTAGCAGGGGATGACAGAAGTCTGTGGAAAAGAGAAGTTCATTATTTTAAAGCCTAAGAAAAAAACTCATACAGGAAAATGTAAGGAAATCCAAAGCCAGAAGGTAAGGCTGCCTTTCGTTAGGAAAAGACACAGCCCACCACTGCAAAAACACCCCTTATTTTCATGTGAATGCAGCCATGAAGCACACCTACGACTCCCAGTGAGGTTCTGTGTCAGAGGCAGTGCTACCAGAAGCAACAGTTTATTCCCTATGATTTATTCAGTTCAGCAAAAATGTATTACTTTCTTCATTGCTCCATTTGTTCTTTAAAGTGGTAAAAATCTTCACAGATCAGTGAGAAATTTAATTAAGATATTATACAAAGTGTTCATCTTTGGAAAAGCAAGAATCTGGCCTCATGGACGACCTGAGTGAGAATGAAAACACATTCCTACCAGACTTGCACACAGCTTTCTTTAACAATCTATCTAAGTAACTGTAAGAATCTATGAACCATGTGGGTGCCTTCCAACTCAAAATATTCTGTGATGCTATCAAATATGTCAGAATTGCATGTATTCTGAAATACATACTTTTAATTTTATTAAACAGTAACAATATAATAATCTGAATAATTCTTACTCTAAGTTTATCTGATGAGATGATGATATATAATATACTCTTAAGAACATAAACTATTGGCTTTACAAGGTCCATTTTTTCAGTTAATTCCCAGACTTCAGTTCAGGATATCATAGTCTTTATTCATTTACTCATTTTGTTTCATATGAGGACAACATGACCTTTAGGACAGATTTTTCACAGTGAATTGCAACATGCTTGCCATATTTAAGACCTTGTTGAGACAGAGAAGTTTTTCATAGTGATACATGTTAATATACATATTTTGCTCATTTATTCCAGAAAGGGATGGCAATACACACATATATACATACATATATAAAAAACCTTATCTATTTATATAGTTCGTATGTTAAAATTACATTAAAGAGAAGAACTCCATTAAGGGCAATGATTCATTTACACTTAAGGAGTCTAACAAACATCCCACTACAACTCAGGAGAGGGCACACAATAACAAGAAAGAATGAACAATTTACCAGAACTGAAGAATGCCTTAATGAGTGGTAGATGATTTTCACTTTTTTCTGAAAGATATGTTGCTTCTCTTTTCACACCAGTGATTCAGAAGAGGTGACTTCAGGTATCTGGTTAAAGAAGAGAAGGAATAAAGAAGAAGAGGAATAAAATTTCACGCTGTTGTCAGATGCAGCTGAGGTTTAGATACAAAATACTGAGTCTGATACAAGCAGATGATGATACTCTAACAGGGTAAATTAATTCGAGGAGTTATTTTTCTGTAATTTAAGGAAGCTCTGTGCTTCTTGCTAAATTTTCCATGAAATAAACAGGCATGTATATAGGAATCTATATGAATGCATACGCCAACACCAGCTGAAGTGAGCAGTTCCAACCCTTTTCCCTACGGCCTCCTCCACACCAGCTGACAGGAGTATCTTCACCCTGAGACATATCCTTGTGCCTTCCCTTTTCCTCAGAGCGTTTGTCACTTCCCAGCCATGTTTTGAAAGCTGAGGCTCAGTGTGCAGGTCCAGGGACAGCTTCACAGTGTCAGGGCAGCGCAGTTTGGGATGGATGCTGCTGGCCACCCCAGGGTGCCACTCTACACCATCCAGAGCCAGCAGCACTCATGCAGTTGCCTGTATTTTCTGCCACCCTACAGAAGCATACAGCAAGTTTCAGACTGGACGACTTGATATTTGCAGCTGCTTGTTAATACTTACATAATAATTTAGTCCATGTGAATAAATAAAAGCACATGCTGTCAGTCCTCTACGCAGATCCTGATCATATATGTGCATACTCTCTGATACCAAAGGGAGAGGAACCAGGGTTTACCTCCAGTTGTAAGACCAAGTACTGACGTTGCCTAGTACAGTTGAATGTAACTGCTCTGAGACACAAGACAGATGGGATAGAGAGATTTGAAGTGCTACAAATAAAATCTAAAACTGAACTTTTAAATATTCATTCTGAACTATAAAGAGAGCTGTGGCTTTTGTGTGCTACAGATGGCTTGGAAATGCAGTGCAAACAAAGGAACAATTTTTGAATACTCATAGCTCCTCTACCATAATAGCTGGAGGCCCAAAACTCCAGGGGTTTGAGATGATTCAACTAGATCCTCTTACCTGCCAAATTTCATCAAAGCAACATTGCTTTTACCATCTTATAAGGGATGAAAGAAATATGAATAGTGTGGGTTTTTTTAATGAAACGTGGACTGCTTAAGCTTGAACAAAAAATTACAATATGAATGGAAAATGCAAGAGAAAACCATTTTTTTATCATACATACTTAAAGCACCATATAAGATGAAATCTGTACTTTTTATAGATTGAAAGATTAAACTGAAATATTTGGTAGATTTAGATAAATGAAGGAAATAAAATAAAAAATAAGCATAATAAAAATCCCTGCCAGTCATAATCAATGGGAAACTGCTGAGTGATTGCCAAGTATGGCCTTAGGTTTAAATCTAGGAGAGACACATGTGTTTCTTTGTAAGGTAGTGGGGCATGACCTCATCAATCAGAGATTATTCTCTGCATAATAGTTTATGGAAAGAAACCACTAACACCAACTCCTCATCTGCCTTTCAGACAGAGGCCAGCTGACACGAGTACAGCTGGAAAGGGGCTAAATAACACTGCTGCTAAGACCATACACTGCTGCATTTCCATAGCAGTAAATTAGCATTTTCTGATGTTATTAGCTACTAGCATAGTAGCTAACATAAAGTCTTTGGCTCTAGAGAGGTGATACTCTCCCACCTTCTGTATGTATTTGAGCTTCTACAAGAGTGGAACCAGAAAACAAAGTCCAGAAGAGAGGTGAGTGTCTGGGGGGGGGGAGGTGGGCAGAGATCACCTGTGGGGAAGAGAGAACCCCTGAACTGCCAACAGTCCTCCAAACATAAAAGCCACAGAGACAAACATGCAATGATGAATCACAGCTAGAAGTCAGGATTATGAGGTATCACTGCCAATTGAAGGGAGAGAAAGTGCAGGAATAGGAGGAAAAGGCATGAAGAGCTTGGCAGACAACGTAACCCTCCTATAATGACAGTGAGAGCCAAGAGACAGTCACAGATTGATACCAAGTGATGGATGACGGGTGGAAGATGACAAGTAGATTACGTTATCTGTGAAATCAAGGGAATTAGCAAGGAGGTATGCACAGAGGGAGGCAACCTGGACAGCACAAGTTGTTGGAGAAGGGATGGCTGCCACAATGCTCTGGATGGATAGCAGGAACTAGATCTGCATTTGTAAAGGTCAGAGAAAAGGATTCTGTGAAAAATGAAGACAAGATGGTGCAAGTTGGGGTAAGTATTTTAATGGTTTCTAGACAAGAGGGGAAAAGTGGCAATTTACAGCAGAGGACCAGCCTGCTGGGTTTGGGAATGGTCCATGTAAGAGGTGTGAACTGAAGAGCAAGCCTGCAACCTTGCTGGAGAGACAGACGATCCTGCACTGCTGGCAGAAAGAGAGGAAGGAGGACTTGGCAACACTTGAGAAAGCCAGCAGGATGACCAGGGCCTCCCTTTCAGACACGTTTGACTGGTTCCAGATCTGAGTCCATCAGAGGGCAAGCAGGGATTGCAGTCTGAGAGTGTGACTTGGTCTCTGTTCGTAGCTCAGGCAAAAGAATGGCAAATGAACAGAGAAGAAAGGGCAGGATCCTCTGGTAGAAAATAGAGCTTTTCCAATGACCTCACTGTCCTTTTGAGAGTAACTTCTTTCCAGGACAGTGTCCCAACAGGATACTTAAATGCCTTCAGCATAGTTCAGTATTCAGAGATAAAACTGAACAACTTTTTATGAAATCTGCCTCCAATAAAAACATCTTTATTGCCCTGGGCTAATGTGTAAGTTAGTGAAAGATTATGGTTCAGTTTCTATAGCCATTTTATGTAATAGGAAAAAAAATCCATAGGGACCTCATCTATTAGTCCTCTAAAATATGAAATGAAGTTTTAAGCCGCACTTCATCATGGTAATAGGCTATCAGCTATTTTCCTAAACTCTCAGACTCACTGCTGTCATTCTAGGCAGAATCAGACAACCTGACTTAATCATCTGCTTGTGACTTGCTGCACTGTGCCCCTTCCTTTGGAATATATATAGATCCTAATTATTTTTTAATCCTTTACTAAAAACATTGTCAAAATGACTGCTACCCGTGTGGCATACAGATGAGGATGTTTACAGGCACGGGAGCCGCAGTGCCCTAGGGCCTCCTTCCCTGATCCCTGTGTGCCACTGGCAGGGCTTGGCAGAGGGTACGATTGCCTCTGCAGGAGTAATCCTCTCCTAGCTTCTCCTGCACCTCTTCTGGAGGGACAGCAAGCATTTTAACAAGGTTATATTTGTATGTTGTAAGGCTACAGTGACTGGTATTAAAATAAGATAAACCCAACCTTCAGATGAGTTTGGTTGCCTACAAATGTGTGCATTTGAATGCTTACTCAAACTACCAGCCCACTTCCAGGGTATGGTTTCCCTGGGGACATTTAAGTCTGCACCTGCCATCAAGTGCATTCTTCTGGGCTGTCTCTGCCCCACTCATCTGCTACAAATGGGGTTCCCCTTTGTCTCCCTTTCCTCCAGTGTACTGCCACCTTCAGCCTAAATGGGCATACCCAGGCTTGCCCATGCTGTGCATTACTGAGAGAAAAGACCCCAAAATCAGAAGACTAGCTTTAAGATGATAAGCTGATTTCAGTGATCACAAACACAGTTCAGACTTGGCAGTTTTGGCTCTGTTCACCTCTGCTGCAGAAAGGCAAAGCACAGCTCTTTATAAAACACCAAGTGCTGGGTGAGAACCAGAGTGAAGGAGGAGTTATTTTTGTTGGTCTGTTGCCTTCTCTAAAGTCTGTAATATAATGATTCATGCATGCATATCACGAGAGACAGCAGGGCTGTCACCACCAGTCTGCTGCCTAATGCCTCATGCTTGCAGTAGCAAAGACCTGTCCCCTGCCAGCTCCTGCAGAGAGGCAGGTTGGGACCAGGGATTCCACAGGGACAGGTGCTGTCCCGTGTCTCTGTATCTTCACCTGGAGACAAGTGGAACATGCACCATGTGCTCCTAAGGCTTCAAAACACTGCCTGTGCCCTGGTCTCTGTGCTTCTGTTGATAAAGTGGGAATTGTCACACAGTGCCACAAGTAGCAGATACACACACAGAGGATGGATTCATACCATATCCACAGACCAACCTGTGTTCCTGAAAGAAAGCATGGTCCAGTTCCTAGAGTTGTTCTAATGAGGGTAACTGAGCAGAACCTGTGCTTATAAAGAGCTTCTGGGCTCTCTCAAAATCAAACCACTATATTATGGGCATTATCATTCCATCACACTCTCATCCAGAAGCTGGGACCACCAGCATCTCACTGCTCTTCCTTCCCAGCTCGCTCCACATGCAGTTTCCATTCCTGTCATGAAAATAAACAAACCAGAGGCAACTCATGCTGCCTGCTTTAATGTCCCAATTCCCTGGCCAGCCAAAGACTATCTACACTGCTGTGTATTTCTGTCCAAGCTTTAAAAGTTAACTCTCCCCCAGGAATTGCTAGTTATTGGAAAAAGAAGCACTGGAAAATCAGGCCCCTCGCTGCAGTTGTTTATAGACCAGATCACCAATTCTGGGAGACCAATAGGATAAACATGGTCCAAACTGTTTCCTGTATCATCAGAATGAACTTTAAAAGACACTTTTATAAAAGGTACTTAAATTGGAGGAGCTTACTTTTTAATTTGCAATTTTAAATGTGAGCATGTTATAACTTGTAGATGAACATTTCTATAAAGATAATTACATATGGCAAGACAGAAAAACTTTTTAAAACATTTTCTCTTGAATGTGTGCCTGAATTCATTTACAACTGTTGCTGCTTTAAACACTTCAGGCAGAATAAGTGGATGGCACTAAACAGCTTAGCTGCAATTATTATGGAATGTCTGAGGTATAATTTCCCCTGCGGTTTTGTTAGGCGTGCAAAATTCATAATTCTGATTTGTGGCAGGTACTTATTACCCATCGCAGGTGGAGATATGCAAATATTATTCTAGTAGGGGTGAACAGCCTTTATTTCAGTATTCAGCTATTAACGAGATTTGTGAGTCTGGTACTCTGGGGCCATTTAATTAATTAGATGGTACAGATAAAATATAAATTGTTTTGTAGGCTACACAATTCCAGTTCTAGAAGATGTAAAATATGGCTAAATGAACTTAGTATGGACTGATTTGTTGTTTCTCTTATGGCACAAGGTAGAGGCAAATTCTGCCTGTTATTTTTGCCTATAATGAACCTGTACAGCACCCTTGCATTGTCAAGCGTTGTGGGAAAGGGATATTATTTATTTTTTGTCATTATTATTAAGAATGTCTCTCAGTTATCCTCTTTGTAAAAAATTGCTGGCATGCATCAAACAAGCCAAAAAATAGGCATGTTCTTTTATGGAAGCCAATATGTGCATGTTTCAGAATAAGCACATATTTTCAAGACATTTAGATTTGATAGCATATTATTGTCTCAAGGTCTGACACTTCTATTTTAAATAAATCATTTCCATGGATAGATAAGTTGAACTCGCTAGAGGGGAATGCAGAGGGAAGCTACAGTAGCATGTTAGCATCTAGACTTCCAAATAATTCTACTAATTAGTTAATTCACGTATTTCTTTTCCTAAAGTGTGATCTCCCTAACCCTCCAGAAGATTTCTGGAAAACAATAACTGGGGTTAAAAAAAAACCAACATGCTTTTATTCTTCACAGTGATAGTTATAATGGCCACAATAAAAGAAACAGCATTTACCAGGAGATACAGTGAACTACATGGTGAGACATTCACCCTACCCTTATATGGAGGAAATAAAATGCATGATGCATGAGACCGGAAATTGTTAGCAAACTGTCGGCATTTAAAGGCAGGCATTGACCATTATATTAGTTTTAAATTGCACTAAAATACTACACCACACAATTACAGTACTATAAACATTGAATGAAAACCAGTTAGTTTTACTAAAGTAGGAGTATAAACAGCAGTCACTCTTATTGGTTTATTGAACATATTTTGGGGCCCATTCCAGCTGTCTTTATTAGCTCTAATGCAAATGATTTTACACTGCTATTTTGCCAAGCCCTGGTAGCTGTACTGCTGCAAACAAACCCTGCTGCTTTGTGTCTGCTGGAGACTTACTGACAAATATGATAAAGGATACATAAAATGAATAACAATACAGAACTGGCGCCATAGGAGGAAAGGAAAACTAATAGGGGGAAATTATACTGTAAGCATAGGAGCTATTGTATGGTTTTGTGCAGTGTAACTCAAAGCATACACGTTTAAAATCAGATACATACCATGAGTTTCTCTGGTCAGTTCCCCACAGGGTGTGCAGAGCTGGTCAGGGAGCTGTATTCCAGCTGGGTTTGCCCGGGACCTGTCCACCAACTGAGAGGGCTGGATTCAGGGAAGATGGACCCCACCAAGGGCTGGAGCTCGGCAAGAACAGAAAGAGTCTCATGGAGATGGGAGCAGGCTGGACCAGGCCAACAGCATCTGAGCAGGAGGATCTTCTGGCAAGGGAAAAGGTCTGCAAAGATATAAGGACTGCATCTTATCCAAAGAAAGAGCTTCTGACTTTGGAGACATCCTGCACAGGAGAGATGCAAACATGATCTCTTTGAACAGGGCTAGGGAATGACCTAGGAATATGGCTGCAGAAATAAATAAGTGCAAGGTAGAAAGTAGAGCAAATTAAAAGCAGAAGGCATTGACTGTGATCTGAGGAAAAGGGCCAGTCATATTTTGTGGCTGAACATAATTGATCATGTAAGATATTTAACTGTGGCTCAATTTTCAGTAAGAAAAGTCAATTGTGTTTGTGGTGAGAAATTCCCTGAAGCACAGGAGGCTGCAAAATAAGGATGATGTATGCGGAAAAGAGCTGTGGGTAACCAAGTCTGTCAATGGGATTTCCAGCACAGGAGAGCAGTGGGTGTTTTCATTACAGCACCAGCACAGGTTACTTCATAGTTTGGCTGAATTGTCAGCTGTGATTTGAGAAACCTGGGAAATCTGAGTGCTGGTGCAATGGAAATGCAACAGGTATGCCTTCATGTGGCACTTGTGGGAACACCTAGGAACATCACAATATTCAATTCATAAACAAACCCTGAAAGCAAGCACTAGAGATTGAGTGAATAGTTTGTGTAGAAAAACTGAATAGAAGCACAGTGACCACAACTAGAGAAAATATCAAGGAGGAAAACATATTTTAGTTAAGTACAGAACAATATAAATGACAGTGATATGTATGGAAACATTTTAATAGAAAAATAATATATACTTATGATGTTCAGACACAACAAGGCCAAGTTACCTGCAGGCTTTAGATAAAATGCAGAAGAGAGTCAAACTCATTTCAATCTCACCTCTCACAGTAGTTTCAGAACGCGGACTGCATCTCCTCCACATAACAGCAAACTGTTTAGGAAAAAAATTAAGTCTAGATTTCTACAGAATAAATACACCAGAATAATATTCTGCATTTAAATACCTTAAATTGGATAAACAATACCCCATGGGTAGAACCTTTAAAAGACCATTTCTGCAGAAGATGAAATCAAGAAAACAGTTTTAATTAAATCTTTCCAAAGACTTCATAAAAACCCAGACACAGCAGCAGTGCTACATGCAGTACCTCCACAGCAGCTCTGAGCTATACAGTCCAAAACGAAGGAGGAGTTCTAGTATTTCCTTTTTTTTTCCCCCCTAGGTATGCACACACAAACACATCATTAGTTCAAAATCAATGCACAAATGAGAGATGTGATCAGAGAATTACATCTATTCACAGTAGCACAGAGAGCAGTGCCGTGGGCCAAGGGCAGTTCCTGTGCTGTCGAGGGGAGCAGTGCTGCAGCAGGCAATTGATGCCTCTCAACACAGAGGGAACCGCTGCCTGCTGGTAGGTGATTATCACCAGTATTTTTTCAGAGTAATGTAAGTAAGCAACACTTTACGTGGCACTATAATATCTACCAGGCATAGTATTTGCAGAGGGAAGATGGAGCAACAATGCCTTTGTGAAGGACTTCTGCTCCACACAAAAATACTGCTGGGCAGGCATCACTCCCCTCCTACAGCGACTGCTCCTCAGTGCCAGGAGCCCACTGCATGAGCCCAAACCTACATGCAGGGAGCCAGACAGCCAGCTGGGAGGAGTCAGAGGCACTTTAAACCATTTCCCTGCACTGGGCAGCAAGGCAGAAGCAAGAGGAGACTGAGACCCACTGAGTGCCCACCAGGTCAAACACACACAGTAAATCAGCCACCACGGTGCCAGTGCACCAAGACACCCAGGACAAGCAGCACTTGCTCTGGGTTCAACTGAAAACATAACCCCCCACCCCAAACATTAGCACAGCATCTGTGCACCCCAGTCATATACAGGAAGCACTGGCAATCATACAAAGCTGGCTAAGGGCTGACTGGCCATTTTGAGAGCACTGAAAATAATCTTAAAACTCTGTGGTGTATGTATAGATGATGAGCTAAACCAAGAGCAGAAGGTGTATTTGAGAAGACAATAAACAACAATGAAACATTACCTCGGGTAAAAAAATCCAATAAGCAACTTAAACCAAAACAGTGCCCAGCCCCATCAAACCACCAGTTTGTTGATGGTTCCCTGCCTCCTGTTATAACAGCTATGTTTATTCACATATAGTGCTTTTTAAGTCATACATTCAGCCAGCACAGCTCAGCTCTCCTGCCACCAAAGTATGGCAGGGCTGCAAACATGACTTCAGCAAGGTAATATCAATTTACACACGCTACGAAAGCATTCAAAAATTAATGCAACTAATCTCCTGGTTTCACCTGACAGGAGGTAAATTATTGATCTTTGCAATATGAAAGCACCAAAAAGAACAAACTCAGATCTGCACACTTTCATGTGCACCCTTGCCTCCCCTTGTCAAACTTAAAACAGTCATATCCAGAGGGCTGCAGGGAGATTTGAGAAACACATGTTCTTCCTGTACAATTTAATCATGGTGCGAGCAAAAGCTAGATGCTCCAAGAAGACAGTGGTTGTGTAAACAAGAAACAGCATCACCCAAACCTGTGGCACAAGCCAGTGCTCACAGAAATACATGCAAGGAGACTGGCAGCTTAGGCTGTTGGAGACTTCCCTTAATCTCTAACATGCAGCTGAGGATGTACAGCCCTACAGCCAAAGCCTGGTACAGTCACTGATACATCACCGTTGCTCATCACTCAAGAGACAAACCTGCTTTTATAAACCTAACCTCATTTTTCCCCATTTTCCTCCCTCTCCTGGCAACTTGCTACACTGCAACACAAAACAGAGCTCCATTAAACCCACTGCAGAGGCTGACACCCCATGGGATGGAAGCCTACTGCACAGCAGATGCCCCCTCACACCTGCCTGCTCTCCACCACATACCACCACAGAAGTGCAGCATGGGGATTTCTATCCCCAATGAACAATATATAAGAGAGGAACAGAAAATTACCCATCAATAGTCTCCAATATTTCCCCTACTTCTTCACTTTGTTCATTGTGGAAAAAAGAGCAATTCCTCCAGGAGAGGTCATTGTTCCTTGATCCTAAACACAGAGCATTACATCAGACTACAGAAAATCACATGATGTGGGCTAACATCTGCTAATATTAGCTAAAAAAATTATTTTTTTATTCTTAGCTATCGCTACCATTCTGCATACCATGCACGCTGATTTTTGTATGGATGAAACAGGTTGAATGACCTAAGAACAGGAAAGGTTTTCATTGAAAACACTGAAACTGAAACTAACATTTTTCTTTTTTCATTTTGCCTATCTTTTAAGCCTGAAAATTCCAGGTTATATTTAACCTGTTTGACTAACACAACACTGTGGCTATCCAGTGTATTTCAGTAGGAGTCTTGTAGCTTCCACCAGGTGCATCACACTCTTCACAAAGCTCATCACCACAGTAGGAGCATTCCCAAACTTTGAATCAAAAAACACATTATTCCAAGCTTCATTTGTGTGTTTAATACGCCATATTCAACTGCATCTCCCAAAACTTAGCTTGCTCTTTGCTGGAAATAGAAGCTTTGCTTTCTACCCTGTAAGGAGAAACATTATCCTGCATATTCAGGCTATGAGCAGAGTTTGAGTACAGGATTATGGAGAGAGAACTCCAGTGTATTGCTGTGACATGATCCTTTTTCAAGTGTTCAAGATTGAATTTTGCTTTTTTACCAAAACATTGCACATCACAGACACAATTTCATGAGCAAATCATACTATTGAGAACTTGGTCTAATATTTATACTAAACTATTTCTGCATTTGCCTCAGGCCCTCGTTCTTCTCTCTATCTCAGATGGTGAATAATTCCCCTGTCTTTTGCATTGTATTTATCTTGAAGGTGTTATTGATTAGGAACAGGACCTTTAGGTCTTTCCAGTTCTATAGATCTCTTGGTATAATTTTCATGATGTTATTTCTTGTTCTGTTTTCTATAATGTTGCTTTCTTCTCCTGCTTTTTCACCTTCCTTCCAAAAGCTGAAAATAAGTGAGATGAGTAGAGGAGCATTTTGTGGTTGGTTGGGGGTTGCTGTCAACAGGGAAAGAGAAAAGACCTGCCACAGCACCTGCACGTGGGGAGATGGAGATGCTGCATCTGGTGCAAGGGGTAGAAGCATCAGCTGCAGGACTCCATCTGATGGAAACCCTAATGGGATGTGTTTTAAACCTTTGTATAAAAAGATCAAAGATCATATGTGTACATATGCATTTATGCACAGTTCAAGGGTTTGCACCACCAATTTGTAGTAGAGAGGTTTTACTGCATAAATAACATTACTGTGTCTTGGTTTGATGGTACGAGTATCCATAGGAAAGCAGATCAAACAGCAGTTGAGCACACCTTGATGAAGAACAGTAGATTTTATGACATTTTTTTGTTTGATTTTTACTTCTAAAGAAGAACTTTCTAATGTGAGAACTACAAGCCAACTATTAACTATTAAATAAGAAGGAGACTATTTTGGTTAACAGTCTTTTACTCTCTTTTTGAATGTCAGCACATGTCCCCCTGGCAGATTCCATAAATTCAAGAGCTACCAGATGGTTGCGTAACAGCAATGCCCAAAATACGCTCTAGAAATTAAAGAATCACAACGAAGACAATGAATGGGTCGCTAAGAGACATGAGCATCTACTCTGTCATCACTTCCATTAGGTGGACAGAGCAATTTAAAGCACTGCCAGGAACAGCCCATCTTCCACCTGGAAGAGAGTAAAGCACAGCCTGCCCTGATATGATGCAACACACAGAAGCACACTGCAGATACAGCTTGAAAGGTATAGATTTTACAAGAGCCAATTTAAAATCAAGGTAATGTAGATGAATAGAAAATGACAAGAATAATATTCTTGCAGCATTTGCCTCTGGGAATGCTTTATCTCCACACACAATGCTCATTTGGGTTTTGAAACTTCAACACATGATTTTTCTCCTTTTTTTTTTTTTTTTAATAAGTATTTTACATATCCCCTCTTCCAAATCTATACTCAGCTACTTCTATGATTAAGGTACTTCTGGATTTTTTTCCCCTATATTCAGTAACAACTTTCCCACTTAAAAGCAGTATTACAAGAAGTGCCCTCAGTTACAGGTGTGCAGTTCAGTCATAAGGGATATGTAGATAACAAATTATTCACAGTTTCAATTTTTCCCCATCTAGTTAGTAGCTGCTGTACAAAATCTTGCCTGACAATGGTATTTTTATGAAAACTTAACTCCCATCGATAATTCACCATTGATTTAGGAGATGTGCTCTCAGTGAACATTTATATTCTAAATTTCTGCGAAAAGAAATTATTATCCAGGAAAAATGTATATGCTAGCATGAAGCATTCTCTGGGAGAGGGCAGCAGTACACGACTTACAGTCAGACACCACAGCTTTTACATAAAAGAATTTAAGAGGTGCGAACAGCAGGGCACTGAGTGCTGAGAGAGGCGAGGATATAGTACTGGTGTTTGTGAATAGGACAGTGCTACAGGCTGAAGCCATTCACGATGCAGAAGCACATGTTTACAGGAAGATCTCAGGCTTGTAAACAGCAGGGCTTTAAGCAGGCAGAGAAGAGTTCATGTCCCTGAGAAGGGAATGCAGCACAAAATGTCCTGCTTCTTCACAGAGAGTCACCCTGCTTGCAGCTGTCTAAAATTAGAGACACAGCCATTGTTCCAATGGATAATCAGGGCTAAGAGCTTTTTCAGGGCATCTCTTGACAGCGTGAGGGCTGGTACAATTCAGTGTGTCAGTTTAGCTGTACTGGAAATCTGAAAAGGCCAAATTACAGTTTTATTTTTTTCAGTATTTCATTACAAAGATATTAACATCAACAGGGTTAATTTGATGACAGGATTAAAAAGGTG